TTCAGCAAACCGGTTAGGACTCCTTGCGGGCGAGCTCCACACCGGGCTGGACCCTCCATATTGGGCCGGAGAGGGACTAAACCGGCCCGGAGACTTGTTGGGCTTGCGCCTTACGGTTTTGGCCAGAGCAGTGAGCTTTCTCGCAATTGAAGCCAAGTCCAAAGGCGAAACGTCCGCTTGTAAGGCCGAGTAAGGAAGTAGGAAATAGAGTTTGCCCCGTTCGAGTAGCGTCTCGGGCCTCATGGGCTTGGTCCCGCAAGAGAGGAGCTGGGCCGGCGTGCAGACGAAGTACTTGGTGGGCTTTCCGGTGACGTAGCTGACCGAAACCGGGTGCTCAAAATCTTCTACGTAGCCGTTCAGGTGAACCACTCGGACGGCTTTGAATTCTAATTCTGATGATGATGATCTGCAAGATAAACACGAACCCATATTTTTGTTTTCCTTTACTATGAGATATAAAGAAAGAAAGTTCTACAAATATATGTATATATGTATATACATATATATATATATATATAGAGAGAGAGAGAGAGAGAGAGAGAGAGAGAGAGAGAGAGAGAGAGAGAGAGAGAGAGAGAGAGAGAAACGTGGGTGTGTTTTTGTGGGGAGTTGATGAGATAATGCTCAATAGTTAGAGGCTGGCCAACTACTTTGGGACTTTATAGAGAAATTCATCTTGTGATCTTGGAAAAGTTAAGAGTAAAATAGAAGTCAGCTGTACTGATATTCTAACTGAAAGTTGATGACAAGATTGCTTTATGTGGACCAACCATAAATCCCTTTCAGCCGTGAGGTATGGGCCGGTAATCAGTCCTTAATTTTTTTGATTAGGACATTAATGTATCTTATTAACTAGTTGTATTTTTAAACAGAAACGTGATATAGGGATCAAAAATATATGGACATAAAGTATATTTGTTTAAGGACGTTCTCCAATCAGTCAAGAGAAATAGAGTAATAAAATATGTATTTTTGTAACGTGTGTGTATAAAATAAAAACATTACGGCTCAAATTATTTACAAAATAAAATGCTATAAGTCAAGATAAGGGAAGTAGAAGTGCGAACGGTAGGGTGGTCGTAGATCAGAAGATCCTTAAAAGTGCGGCTGTATAGATGTCAGGCGGTTAGGTTTCGCCTCTCAAAACTCATTTGACTCAACTAAGGCGACCAGCCGCAGCATGGGAAGAGAGGCCTGTTCCATGTTAGCAGCTCGTCTTTTTTTTTTTTTTTTTTTTTTTTTTTTTTTTTTTCTTTCTATTTTGACCGGTCTAGCGAAATGTTCTACTAAAATAAATCACTAGAATTCATTGGCCAATTCAGATTTTGTTTTAGTATCATTGATCGAGTTTATTTCAACCAATTATATGTTTAAACATATATATAAATAAGCTTACAACACATTATTTTCATGGACTCGTTATATTATATACGTATTGTTCTTGCAAATATGGACAAATCTCAAGCCTGACAGCCGTATATGATACGGCAAGTGTAATATTTTTTCACACGGATTTGTAATTCTTTATATGTGATTAGTAATACTGAACAAGTTTCATGTAACATGGTCGTAGATTATATTTTATTGTCATAGTTTTTTTCTTTTTTTAGTATTGTTTACCAATTAGTGAGAAATTTATTAGAATTTTTGAATTATTTTAAAAAATAATATGTGTAAAGATAACAATTGACAAAAAAAAATATAAGTAGATACACATTTAAAAAAAAAAATATTTTAACCAACTAAAAATGAAATAGGAACAAATGTAAAAAAATTACTCTCATAATAATAAGGTGATGAATAATATATTTTTATAAAACACACAAAAAAAATTATAATGTAAAAACACTAAAAAAATAAAGATAAAAAATTAAAAAAAATTAAAAAAAATAAATAAAAAGGCTAACAGCCTTATAAAAATCTTTAATTCTTTTATGTATTGTTAGATGAATGGTACATAAAGTATAAATAATATTATAACCGTACAATGTTACATTTGAAGGACTTATGATTGCCGAACTGTTATATCTATATATAACCGTTTCCAATACGCCTAGTTCAGCAGTGTATATATATAGGCGTATTGGAAACGGTTGTGGAAAATGTTTCAATAGACATGACCGGTCACATGATGACCTATTTCAAAAACCGCCGTGCGGGTTAATTAAAGCTTGGCTGCTAGCTGAGCCAATTCTGAACAAGTCAACTAATGTCTCCAAAATCAAACAATGAAGCATCTTTAGCGTACAAATGTAATTGATTTATTACATACAAAAAATGTAAGAACCGTTTAATTCGTTAATTTGAGTTTTTAATTTGAGTTGATAAGTGATTTTATTTAAGAATTTTTTACTGTAATAAAAAAATTAGATGTGACTATTTCTTATAGCTTTTTACTGTAACAAAACTCGAATTATAAACTTGAATCGGTGAAATGAACGTGTAGACTCATTTTATGTGTGTTTGTCTACAAGGCATTGAAGACTCGCTTGGATTTGAAAGCTAGAGTGAATTTTTTGATACCCTAGCTATTTGCATCGATATTTCTTGGAACTTGGTACTGATGGTTTTTCCATATGTTTTACAAAGAACAAGAAGGGCACTAGGAGTGCAACTGTGCAAAGAACCTCATAACGTGATAAGTGATTAAGACTCCGTTCATTTTATTAGTTCTAATCATAACTCAATTGTCTTTGTTACAATTTTTTCACTCATAAAAATTCAAAGAGAAATGCTAGTGTCACTCTTTCTTCACTTTTTTGTATCACTTTCTGCTTTCATTATTTGAATTTTGAAAAGTGGACTTGACAATCTCATTTTTTTATTAAAATAATAATATATCATGTTAGTGGAGTCCACATATCAAATAGTGAATGCAAAAAGTAACAAAGAGAATGATAGACTGGTCTCGTTCATTTCACCGATTCGAGTTTTTAATTACAGTTTTGTTACAGTTAAAAACTCTCACTTAAAATCACATCTCAGCTCGAATTGAAAATTCGAATCAACGAACTAAACAAGGCCAGAAAGAGTGACGATAGCATTTTTCAAATTCAAATTTAACTTTTTCTACTACAGTGTTTTCTCTCACAAAAATTTACTTTTTAACTCAAATTCTTAATTTGAGCGAGGAAAACGAACAAACTTTAACCATAGTCATTAGTGGGATGGCAAAGGGCGGGTTCCGGCAGAGAGGCCATCCCCCACTCCATATGATCACGTTATCATGAAAAAATTGTAACTTGTTCTATCACGGATTCAGGGCAAACCGTTTATTTTATAATTATTAAGAAATCAGATTTCAATTCATAATAATGTGAACTCAAAAGTCACATAGGAGACAAATATAAATAATCACACAATTCAGGTACGATGGACGTTTGGTTCATAAATTTATAATCATTTTCGTTTTATGTGTATTTTTTATGAGAAAAAATACTGTAATAAATCACAAATTATGACTCGAATCATGACGCGAATCCACCATCTAAACACACCATAAGATCTAATAATGCCATTAAAAAGTACAAATTATAACATATAAATTTAATAAATAAAAACTTAAAACCGGACGAGTTCAGGATGGGAACCCTAAACCCGTACCCTGAAAAGATCATGTCTATCATGCGGGTAATTCAAGTTGGTGGGTAAAATTGATTACCATCCCACTAATTAAAATATTGTGCATGTTTAAGTGAGAGGTACATATATACATACATACATATATATATATATATATATATATACATACACATACACTGGTGGAGCTAAGAAATATTTTCAGTGGAGAGTTATTAAAAAAAATAGAGATAATTTCTTTATCGAATGGAGTCATAATTATATATTTTAACGCTTGAGTGGGGCATAGTTATAATTTTCTTTCTTTTTTTTTTTTTATGAAGTGAGGGCACAATTAAAATTAATGAGGGTATAACTGAAATTCTTAAAAAAAAAAAAAAAAAAAAAAAAAAAAAAAAAAAAAACTATGATTACATTACTTATGCATTATCCTAAACGTTTTTACTTCTTGAGAAAGAACAAGCATGCGAATTGTGATGTGGGCTAAGTTGACTCCCCCAAAGAAATGAGAGGAACATGACTGAAAGAAAGAAAAAGAAAATATTTATTAGTTATAATTAGTTTAATCCTATTACGAGTGGTATTCTTTATTTTCTTTAAGTTATAAATACACAAGCTCAAAAGGAAGTAAATAATGGGCACCATGTTGGTAAAAAAAAAAAAAAATGCAGAACTATTGGTCGTATCTTTTGGTATGCTAAGGAGAATGACATACTTCTATAAGGAGAGTGACGGGACTATAGGGCTCGTTTGGAACTCGTTCTAAAATGATTTTTTTTTTGTATGCAAATGAGATTGAAAACGTTTTCAATCTCATACAAAAATTATTTTTGAAAATGCGTTTGATAGTTTTATCAATAGATTATTTTCAGTATAAAAAAAACTCATTAATATCTATCTCTCTCTCTCCCTGCTCGAGAGAGGAGAAAACGAAAATAAAAAATGAAAAATGATTAAAAGTCATTTTTCATATCTTTCTCATTTTACACTAAACCAAAAAATCGTTTTCATTTCTGTTTTTTGTCTTTATTGTGACAAACGCTATTTTAAAAACTTTTATTTTTTCTTTCTCGAAAAATGTAAACAATAAAAACGGGATCAATTCTAAACACGGTCATAGCTTTTAGGGGGGAAAAAGATTTCTCGCGTAAATTTGGTCCTTCAACTAATTTGTGTGACTTCTACAAAAATAGTGTTTACAGTGGCAGAGCGAGAAATTAATTTTTCTCAAGGGGAGACGTAAATTGAAGCAAAATTTAAATTAAAACTACAATACATACAAATCAAAATTTAGTGTACAAGTATTATTTTTTTTTCAAAATGATGTAAATATTGTAATTAAAAAATTTCAGGATAGAATTGTAAAAAATACTTAACTTTGGATTGTGGGTCAAAATATAGAAGTATTTACACAAAAATAATCATTTTTAGACTCCTTTTATAATATATTTCCACAATATAACAATATTACTCAGATGTCCTCAAATTATTAAGATTATATTATTCCTCTTGTACTCTTTATGTGTGCAGTTATTAATGTCCAATAACTGATTGCATAAGACGTAGGATTAATTACTTTTCTGCTGTGGAGGAGATTTGCCTTGCCGGCTTCGTCAATGAATCGGCTTTGTCGTTCACTTTCCACGGCAAGCAGCGTTGTGTGTTTTTTTTTTGGTTTGGAGTTTGTAAATTCTGATCAGTGGAGTTGGAATTTTTGTGAATATTTGTGTTTGGATGACGGGGATGGCTGTGGTGCCGCCTGTATTTGCGGACACTGGGCGGTATTTGATTTCTTTTTTTTTTTTTTTAGTTTATGGATTATCGGATATGTTTTGCAATTTTTCACATAA